TCTAACCTCGGCAGTAAATGGTGTTTTGTTCTATACATTTGGAACGATTCAATAAAAAAATCAATAATATCTAGTGCTAGATAGCAATATTGTACATAGAAAACAATAGACACCGTTACACTGAACATTGATCAATCGAAAGTTTTCAACATTTTATTTCATAATTTTAATCAATTTTAATAACTTACTTTTAAAATTTTAATAAATAAAAACTTTATAACAAAATAGATCAATAATTGAGATTTATATCAATTATTGCTATAAAATAAGAAATATAGTATTTTACAAATTATTAAATAATTATATATATTATACATACCTTAAGATATATTTTAATAAAAAAGTGAACATTTTCTGTAAAACTATATTTATATTATAATTTTAAAACTAAATTGATGAATATGGTCATAATGCAAAATGTAGTATTTATAGAAATTCTCATAAGATTAATTTTAAATTTTAAATCAAATTTCATCGAAATAATATGTTTTAATATTTAAAACAATAACTAACCATATTTTACAGAATAAAGTAAATTTTTAATTGGTTTTTCAAATAGCCTTCAATTGTATATAAATATAAATAAATATAATATTCGAACTTTAAATACATTACAAAAAATATTTTATAAACTTTTAATGGATAAGCTGGAATGTATTTAATACTTCAATTCTATACCTGCTATTTAAAAGTTTAGATAACTATTTTAACTTTTTATAGTGTACCTAATAGTATTGTTAAATTTTAAGTTATACATCCTGAAATGTTTGAGACATAGAAAAAAAAAAATGAAATAAAAACCAAAAACCTTTTGTTATACTTTTGAATAAAAACTATAATGGTTATAAACTAAGTATAAAATATCACCCTGAAATAAATAATAAATATTTCGAATTAAAATATTAAAATGAATCTATTGCAGTTTAGTAAAAAAAAAAAAAAAACAAGTATATTCGTATGTTCACGAATATTAACGAAAAAGGTAAATAATTTATTGATCTAAGTTTCTTAAATTAAAAAATTAAGAGTATTCTGAAAATACGCTAGGATCTTGAATTATTATTTTCTTAGTTAACAAAACATGAGCTACAATTGTGGTAACTAATTCATAATTTTTCATAAAGAGTATAAAATATAATTATTGATATTAAATACGAAAAATGTACTTTTTATAAATTATGAAATGTATTATTAAATCTTTGAAAGACTCAACCTACCAGAAAATATGAGTATAGTCACACTGATAACAAAAATAAAAATAAATATACTATTATAAAGTACTGAAACCTATATATTTTTTACTTATTGTTAAGAAGATTATAAAGTATGATTGCTTAAATATGCTCGAATATATTTCTATTAAATTCACAAATTTTATAAACGATATATTTTTCCCCTCACGCTTTGAATAAATAATGATAGAATCTGGAAAGGTTTTCATTTAATTATAAATTTAGTGCTAGAATTATCTCAGAAGATAAATCAAAAGAATATTTTTGACTTAAATAAAATTAGGATTTAAAACATAAAAGATAAATCTTCATACATAAACTTAAACAACAAAAAGTACTTACATACATTAAGGTTTTTGATTTAGCTTTTAATTTATTTGGCATAAAATCTTAAAATTTAAAACAAAAGTAATAAAATACCTATCTTGAGTATAAATTAATTAAAAGTATAAAATTAATATAATATGGTTAACGATGATCATAATTTTTAATTTTCAAAAATAATCATGTATTACTTGTTTACTTGTTGATATTATTATTAGAGAATATAAATACAACTATATTACATGTTTTTTTCGCTTAACATGATAAAACAAACAAGCAATTGATGGATTACCAATATTTTATTTAACACGTTATGCTTACTTATATTTGTCGAAATTCTAGAATAAACATAATAATTTTATAACACGATTCAAGCCTGCACGGTGATATGTTTTAATTTTGTTTGGACTATAATTTATCTTCTAGATAAAATGAAAACTAAATTTTGTTGAATGAAATAAATCATGTGCGAAATTCTTTCAATTTCAGAAAAGTGCTGCGCGATGATTAGGTATATGGTTGACCATATAGGTATATGACCAGTATCTCTAGTGAATAGTGATTAAGGTCCATAAACTATTTTGTACTACCTACCTTAAAAACCAGACGTTTATTTTCTAATGAAAAATGAAATACAAATATTATACATCTTATAATTGATGATATATTCTTATTTGTTCAGATATCGAATACATACGACTACCTATTAATAGTACTTTACATTCCTACCAAAGACGGTTATCGAACTTTAAAATTAGTATCTAAATTCAAAATATGATTTAGTATATAATGATAAAAAAATTATAATTAATATCTGTTTTAAGTAAATATATTATAAAACTACATTGATTAGGTGTATACTTAAAGTTAAATAATTAAATATTATTTGAAGTAAAACATCTTCATAATGAATTGACATAATGAAAGCATAAAATCATAAAATATTTGCAATTTAAAGTAACAGTTATTGTTTTTATTTTTAGTTGTATGACTTTAAAATCAAATTAATTTGATTTCTATAAGTATAATTTAAGCCATTTAAACTTTCAATCGATAAAAGGTTACCACCCTATTATGAAAATAAAAATTCTAATATTTTAACATAACTTTTCTAATATATTTTATCAATATCAAAATAGTAGATTACTCAATAATTATTTTAAAAAAAAAATCTAATATGTAAGTACATAAGTAAAGTAATACTCACAGACGATAGAGTATTCATACATTTTTAAATTTATTTTGTTGATGATATTTTTTTGACATTTGAAAATTACTTTAAAACCATGACAGATATTTTTACTCGATATAATAAATTTAGTAACCATTTTACTAAAATCGTGTAACATTTTTCACTGATGTATGCTTGAATATTTAAGTATAAAAGGTAAAACCAATAGATTTATGTATATATAGTTTAACAAGTTCAATAGTTAATATCAACAGTAGTTGTGTAAATAAAAATAAATGAGAATGTTTATTTTCAATGTACTAAATTATAAAAGTCATTATAATTCGTCTAAGATTTTTGTTTTTTTTTATAAAAAAATTTAAAACATAAAGTAGTTTTAATCATTATAAGTACTAATTATTAATGTTTTGTCGAATAACGCGTATTTATGCATTCGAACACGCGAAAAATGTTGTTGCCATGAAATAGTTCAATACATTCACCTGTGGTATTCTTATTTAACAATAGGATTAGAAAAATAATCAATCTAATAGAAGTTTTTGCTGCAGGCTACAATAGTGCAATAAGTATTGTGTCATCATAACCAAATCGAATAAAAATATGATAAAAACTATTGTAACCCTCAGTAATCGTGATTATATTAACACGATATACGTCGTCACGGATACCAAGTGAATTTAAGTATAATAGAGAATTTAAAAAGTTTTCCGATGGTATTTTAGACGTATAAACATATACGTATAACATATTTCCTATATTTTAATACGGTCCTGGCGCCACCGCAGGAAACATTATTAATATTATTATTATTATTAATTTTTTTCTACTCTCCCTTAATGTGAAACGACAGATTAAAATAATTACATTATAATGTATGCGTATTTCGTTGCTTAGGTACAAAACGGTAACACCGAGGAAACACACTCAAAGTACGCGTATACCTCCTCCGTACAGCTTATTCCGTATTAAAAAATATTTTTTTTTTTTTTTACGCGAGTGATTCGTACATGTTTCATTAAAGCGCTTGAACGTCTTTCAAAGACAGTAATTTTTCACGAGACTCATACAGTCCGTAGAGGTACCCACTTTCACGCGTTATTTTATTATTATTATTATTATCATTATTATTACTTTTTTTAATTACATTGAATTATTATGATCATTTATCATCACGCCAATTTGACCTGTACAACTGTAAATGTCATACGTACGGTTATAAGTATACAAAATAATAATAATAATAATTATATCGTAACATATTTCGATATACTTTCTATTCTCTCGGATACACTATTCTATCCTATTATCATCTTGCCCGTAACTACATGCATACGTACACCTAAGTGTTGCGTAAATCGTTTCGCGTTCGGAAAACACTACCTACGCAACATTGGAACATGATAGTTAAGTATAAACACGGCATTAACGAAACGGGATCACGTGCGGGTACCGCTACGAGATAATGGAATGAAATAACTTCGTAACCATAGTTTTGGACGTATCATTTTTACACGTTTGTGATAATAACTTTCATACTGTATTACTCGTAGATACGATTACGAGCTGTACGTCCTTAAGCTACGGAAAATCGTCGAACACAACACATCCGATAAATGTCTGTCACTTGCGCGAACCAAACGTCCAAATCTGTCGAATACGTTTTCAGACCGAAACATTTCAGTAATATCGATCGGACAAATAGCATGATAAACATTATTCCGTTACACGCGTATCACAGATATATTATAGACTTTCGATTTCCTAACAGTGATATCAATAACCGACAGCACATACCATACAAATAATCGGGAGTAATTCTATTATTCGCACACATACTTAACGATGACGTCTACTACTACTACTACCGTTACAGCACTTTGTGTTGACTACTTGTTGCTCGCGTACAACACTTACGCGTTATCAACATCCGGATTCGACAGCGATGACCACCGTTATAATATGATATAATATTTAAATATTAATCGTAATCGCATGGATAATACGACACGTATGGGAACGTACAATGACGTCAATCGCGGTTCGACCCGATGCGGCTACGCGCACACAACAAAACCGTTCTCGGCGGCCGACGTGTACGTCTGTACTACGTACACGCGTGTCGTGTTCTAAATGCCCACGATATTCATCATTGCGACGGACGCTCTCGACAAAGGACGTTGTATGGCGCGCGTGCACGTGCACTGTACGAATATTTATCACTGTTATTACGCGATGCTATGACAGGTACTCACGTCGTCCCATTTCACCACTTTTTCGCCGTCCAACAGCGCCCGGGGCACGTCCAACGGAGCCATCTCTCTCTGTCAAGCGCGCGCTCGCTGCTGTGCCGAACTCGACGACGACGACGACGGTCGGCCCCAGCGACAACAATGTAGTGTTGTAGTTTGGGTTATCACGCGCGCCGTCCAACCGGTTCAAACCGGTCGTTTGGCCAGCGTCTGTTGCAACGACGGTGGCTGCACCGGCGGTAGTAATGCCGAAGACAACGACGACGACGACGACGATGATAATGATGATGATGATGACGTCTCCCACGTCGTCGATCCCATCATTCTGCTTTCCGGCTCTTGCGGCGTCTGTCTCTTATCTCTGCGTAACGGCTGCTGCAACAGCGTATAATACTCTATCGTAGTCGTTTATCTTCGTTTTTCTTTTTTTTCCACACGGTTTTACGGAACGATTGTAACCGTTTACCTACCGGCTCAGGGAGAACATAATGTTTTCGCCAAACACACGGTCAAACAACGGAAGAGAGTGAATGAGAATGAGTAAGTGAGCGGAGGGCCGGGAGAGAGAAAGAGAAAGAGAGAGTGCGAGGTGGACAGAAAAAATTAAATTAAAAACCGACCCGTATACACGCGACTGACACGGACGTAACACAATGTCACCGCACCGACGACGGAAGATGACTGGACACGATAACGGAATGTGACCGCGAGCAGGTACAATATACGAATATAATATTATGATATTTTAATATAATAAAATAGGTGTTTGATTAAATTATGAATTTTTACGGTAGGCACGATACCGTGGTAAAAGCACGACTCGAGTGGCAGCGGAGCTGCGGTTGACGCGCGGACGACCGAACGACGGTACAGCAGACCGAAAGCGACAGTGGTATGCGAACGACTGATCGGCTGAGTGTGCCGTAGTGTAGTGGGGCGGCAGCGTCGGTGAGCTACGTGTCGGCTGCCGACGTCGCCGCCGCAGAACGTTCGCCGTTCCCTCCGCCGCCACCGTCACCACGTTCGGCCGCCCCGGCAGCGAAAGCAGCTCGTCGCCCGCGCACCGCAGCGCGTGTTGCAGCCCGCCACCCGTTGCTGGATGCTGGAGAGCGACGGCGGTGACGCTTACGTTGACTCGCCGGACGCTGGAGATTTTCGCGCGGCTGATTATTTTTCCGGCGCCGCAATCGGGTGAATAGAGAACGCGGAAACGAGTGAGGTGCACTGTCTCTCAGTAGGTCGCCCTTGTAACGTCTCTCCCCTAGTGTCGTAAAAACCGGGTGTGCAGAGGGTGCATTGCACACAGGCCCGAGCCTCGAACTATATATTATCCGGCCTCAATAGGTCAAATACTCAAAAACGTATGATGATTAGGGGCTTCGAATGACTTAGTTACGGCAATACCCACACCATTGTTCGCTTCGAGTAAATCTGTGATCCGTTCAGCGTTTTGAGCCGCTGTTCACGGGTCTGCGAAAATCATTCCCGAGATGTTTAAAAATATTTTTACACTGGTTCAAAAGCATCCGTATAAGCGCTGAAACGGTAAGTTTTCCATCACCCTCTCCTCTCTCCCCACCGTTCTAACCGTAAATGCACATTTCACGGGTACGTGAACGCACTATACTACACCGTCCGCGCTATTGTTGGAATAGCGTAGCATCTCTTTCCGCAGTCTACCAACTGTACCGTGGCCTGTTACTCTGTAACTGTTGTCGAGATTTCGACAAGCCGTGGGAGACAGTCGCCACCACCGCCAGGTTATATCACTACGGCAGTCGCGTAGCCAGGAACTTGTTATGGGGGGGAGGGTCAGCAAATTTATATATATTTAATCTTATCACTGTCATTTTGACTAATATTTGTATTGATCTCGTTATTTTTAAGTCTGGTTGACATTAGTTATTTTGACTCAGGTAAAAAAAAAAAAAATTAATTTTTCTAGTTTGCTTATTTGTTAGAGAATTTGCCTATAATAATAAATAATAATAACAATTTAGGAACTAGGAACTAATATAGGAACATAAATATTAGATATTAGAATATTTAAATATTCAATCGCTTAGGTACACTAAAAATTAAATTTTAAAAATATCTTACCATAATGGAATGTCTAGACGTCTTAGAATGATGTTAAATTAAAATAAAACAAATATAATGGAATACAAATGTCAACTATAAACAAATAAACGAGTGGTAAGTAAAACAGTGAGACACCAACGTGCAACGACTAACTATTAACTAATAAATATTAGTTTTACACAATAAGGTGCTTGTGTTAAATGATCAGCGAGCCGCGAATGCAATAGGTATGCCCAAAATAAACTTTGAATACAGACAATGATATCGCTTTTATGTCATTTATCGGGACCAGACGACCGATTTAGAATCAACCGTTGTAGAAAACCTAAATAATATGTTCCCAAGCAAAAATTATCAAAGTAGTAGTAAAGTATCTAAATATGATCATAATATTATGATGTGTGTGTGTGTGTGTGTGTGTGTGCGCGCGTGTGTGTATGTGTGTGTAGTGTGTGTATAATACGTTTATAGTGTTTATACAAACTATGATTTCCAAGTCAAAATTCTAAAATATAAAAATGTTAAAGAAAAAACCGTGTTTCATATAAAAGTTAATTTATCATCTCAGGTTCATGGGGGGGGGGGGGTTCTGACCCCCAAACCACCCCATGGATACGCCACTGCACCACGGTATAAAATATCATTCACGTATGACGCGTTTACCTCCTTCGACCTTTTCAACCTCAATTCAGTGTTGAACGCGCAGATTGGGTAACCAGCGGTTATTGAATCGTTCCGCCCGTGTTTTGCCACCGAACAAGACGATTTCGCAACGGAAATACACGCGCGCAATTAGCAAACGAACGATAGATTCGCCGTCCGCATTGTTGTGTTGCATTGCCGACCGACAACGGTACGCGCGTAACAAGTATTATTGTGTTTAACGCGCAGAAAATGAATATCACGAGCATATGAGTGTACTAGTACGCGATCACGACGTGCCTATCAATTGTTTCCTAGTGTATTATGATGTATTTGCACACTATTATATGCTTGTACTGTTGCGTTAATGCGGTGCAAAATTTGAACGTTGGATTAGATCGTGACGCAACTACAAAAGGGTGCATGTAAACTCCCCTAAAGTATTGTAAATTCTTCTAAAAATATTTTGCTACTGAATTATACGTATGTAAACTACCCTGAAAACGTATTGCTACTCAATTTCACGAATGCAAACTCCCCTAAATTTATAATTGAAACTGCCCTGTGATATTAATGCTTGAATGGGTAATCTATTCAAACATTAATATTACAAAATTAACAAGAACTATTGACGATTATAATAAAAAATTATATGATGATATAGTTACAAATATATAAATAAAAATGTTCATACCATAAAAACAATTTGTAGAGAACAATGTAACCACCCCCAAGTGGTATTTTCTGGATAATGCCAAATGATTCTAATATAAAAATATTAATACCTAATACAATATAATTAACATAAATTCAGTAGCAATATGTTTCAGGGGAATTTACGTACGTATAATTCAGTTGCAAAATGTCTTTAGGGGAATTTACTATTGCACATTTTAGGAGAGTTTACAATTTCCCTTACGAAACGCTATGAAGATGATACTGTGTAGCAACGGCATGAACATGTAACATTTTTATTCCGTCTTATGTTTCCTTTTCACTTTTGTGCTTTTTTCTTTAGTCGATTGTTCATAAGATAAATATTGTTTTTAGGTATGTACATAACCCATGCATGTTATGCGTCAAAACTTTACAATTACGTACGTCATTAAATCAATTTTCTCATTCGGGTTTTACAATTTAAACATGTCTCCAAGAGTTCGCAGTTGAACACAATTTGCTTAGGTTAAAAACCTGAATGCACACTTGAATATCAATTTAAAAGCAAAAATATTTTTTTCCAAGCCATATGGAAAAAGTGTTCTACTCTTATCATCCAATATTGCTCTTAATTATTTTGAAGGTATTTTATCATAAAAAAAAATATATATTATTGCCCGTTCCAGTTTTGTTTACCTAATCATTATTTGTAAACCTACAGTAAATAATTAAAAATACATCAAAATACAGATAATATTAGTAATTAAATATAATTTTATCATTGTTAATATATCAAATACACGCAAGTTATAGATTATACAGAATTATTCACCCAGGTGATCACGTTCCCTATTTATAATTTTATTTAATTTTTCAATACTATATTTTTTTTTTCTACACATACATATTCAGTCTTATCGTTGTAATCACGATAACTGATTATGTATACTTTGCAATTTATAGAAACATTACACACTTATTAATATTAGATCTCATCACTAATGATATAATATAATATCACACCTTAGTACAAGTATGGTTCAGAGTGTATATGATAGTGTTTCTCGAGGAAACCGTTGGTTGAATAAACGTGACACAGCGACAGTACTATATTGTTACTATTCATAATGTCAAAACGGATGTATTGTTCAAACTGAATGTCAGAAAATTGTTGGACCTGATTGTAAAGTTTAAATCGATGAATCAATGTTTCAAGAAAAAATATATGATATGAGATGTTTTAAGTGATAGCTGCAGTGGCGTGCGCAGGAATTTGGTATGGGAGGGGGAGATGTCATACATAAAAATGTATTACTTTCAATCTTTATTATTATACAAAAAAAAAAATCATGGCGGAAATTCATTCTTCTGGATTTTACACTAAATTCATCAATAATTTGTTCTGTAGATAATGGAATGTCTCGGTGTATGTAAATGAACGCAATCCATTTAACCGTGACTGCCCCGTCGTATTTCTTAAATAAGTTTTTAAACATTTAGGATTAAAAAAAAAAAGCCTATGGGGGGGATATATCCCTCATCACACACCCCTTGTCACGCAACTGGATAGTTGATTGCATGCATAATAGAGAACTGGTAAAATTTAATGAAAAAATATTCCTGTTATAGTTAAGAATCTAAACTTAAGACAAAGAAAAAATTCTTAGATATAGAAATCGTGATTTTATAGTTATTAAAATATTTAAAAAAAACTAGTGAATATACGTAATACTAAGATTATAATATATTGAATAACCATATTTAATTATGTTTTTTTAGAAGAAATAATGTAGTTAATAAAAAAAAAATTGTATTACATATTATTTGATATTGCTAAATGATTTACTAATTTTTTTTTTTATAACTATTGGATTTTTTAACGTGAAACTTGATTACTTAAGACTTTCAAAGTTTCGTACCGATTAAGTATAAATATTTTAAGTTACTACAGTTTTTAAGTATAAATTATTTAATTTGATACAAGTTAAATATTTCGGAGACTAGGTAATTTATATTAATTTCTTATAATTTACAGTATTAAATGAAAATCGACTATTATTTAAAAACTAGAGTATAATAAATAATTTTGTAAATTATGATGAATTATTGCTTGTGAAAAATCTCATTTGAAATATTTCACAAAACCGAGAAACATCGAAATTTTTTCTAATACAAATATTAATGATGATTATTTATCAATTATTAATTATTAGTGATGCACAACGATATTTTATTTTGATATCGATGTCGAACCAATTTTATGATATCGATTAGACTAATTTATCGAAAGTACATCGATTCGATATAATTTAATTAAAGATTATATTTTCTGTTTATTTCAGTTTTGACAAATAATGAATGTCAAAGAACGATAAACACTAATAAATAATAAGCAATACTATAACGATAAGGCCCCCCATCATAAACATGAACATGAAAGAATTTGTACAATATATTAGTCTCGTTATTTCCGTCGGTCGTCGTAGTCGGTTTTCGAATTTATTTAGTGTATTTTATTTACTATTTAATT